AGAACCCGAGCACCAAGCTCACACCATGTAACTTTAAGCCCATCACAAAGGTATTTATAGTGACTGCAGACGCACCTAAGATGACTAGCCTGCCAACATCCACCTCTGGAGGACGATTCAGCTCATGAAAAGAATGACTTGAGATGTCTCTCTCTTCCCTATAATTATATAAGAAGTTTCTGTAACAGTTCTGCAAGGTCCTTCTTGCAGAAAAGAAAACTTATTTATATGCAAAATGCAAAACAAACCAACAAGACAACCCAAACCAGATGATGAATGCATGAAAACTCCATTTAGTAATTTCACTCTTCCTTTGTTCTCCCATGAAAATCATGATTAGTTTCAGGATATCTTATGTTGTGGCTACTTCTTTTTGTCCTATATTTACAGCCAGGAAATTTTACTATGTCCTCTGTAAAGGTGGATAAATTGAGGTGCAAAAAAGCTGCTGTTTGCCTACACTCTCACAGGGACAGGACGGGGTAAATTGCTTCTAATCATTGAACCACTTTTTCTCACACAGACTCTAAGCCAGAAATATGCATGCCTATCCTTTCCTAAGAGTTTACTAAAACTTCATTAGGTGACTGGACTGATCAGGCATCTGGACTCTCTCTTGTGGCTTATTTAATGGTGGTGGGAAAAAGAGGTAAGGAAAACCAGGGAGGACCAAGACTGCAATGTCTATGCCCAGACTATAGCAATGCTGGACACTGTAGATACAGAATGAGGTTTGCAGGACAGCTAATGATAAATCAGGTTTTGGTTAATTGTCAGTAAATAGCAGTGGAAGGGTAAAGTTGGAAGAGAAGAGCACCTCTTCAAATTATCAGCCAGAAAGTCTGGTAGGATATGCAGACTGCGTCATCACATGGAGTGATGGCTTACAGAAAAAAAAAATAAAATTGGACTCTCCAGTGTTCTCTAATTGCATCAGCCAAATTCTTCACCCAGGTGACTCTGCATGCACATGGAAGGAGGGTCTGAATAGCCACTGCTCTCCTACGTTCCAGCAGCCTCACTTTATACACTATGTTCAATTCAGGATCAGGAGGGTAAGGGCAAGAGTTTTGGCCAACAGCAGCCCAGGCCTATTCTGTCACCAGGATGGCTCTGATTTTTTGTTGCCACTGTGGGAAGCAGAAAGACAGTGAAAGCAAAAATGTATTCACTCTGCAAACAGATTTTCCACCTTCCCTTTTATTGCAGGTCAAATTTGGGCCAGCTGATCTTGACAAGTGTCCCTTTCAGATAAGGCAAAAGAGAATTAATTCCCTAAAGTAATCTCTGTGACCAATTCATTAAGTAGGCACTGTGAGTGATGCTGCTGCTCTCAAGATGCCCACGAAGCAGCACTGGAAGTCAGAACGCTTGTCATCTATATTGATTTTGTTGTTACAGTGGTCATTTCACTCAGCAATGATCACAACAGATCTGCCCAGAAACTTAGCCTCCCTTTGGCATTTTTTAACCTCTCGTGGAGCCACAGTGCCTCAACCGTACTAAAATATTGATTGGAAAGACCCCTGTCAGTGGGCTTTCTGCTGCAGCTGGCTTCATGGGTGGGTTAGTAGAATAGCTGTGGGTCCCTGGGGAGCTCTCACTAGAATAATAACAATGTTTATTTTCTTTTTCGGCAAAATAAAACCACTGCATTTTAGGCTGGCTGGTAAGTTTCTTGTGCGTTGCTATTCTTCAGTGTGTTTTATTTACCCTTTTAAAACTTCAAGTCAACTTGAAAACAAAAACATGGTTTTAAAACACAATGTTTCACTTTGTAAATAAAACAACTTGAAGTGTTTAGGAAATTCAAGTCAACTTGAAAACAAAAATGTTGTTTTAAACCAGAATGTTTCATTTTGTAAAAAAAACCAATGACTTGAAGTGTTTCAACTCTTCAGAATTTGTTCTATGCTTTTCATTTGAAACTATTATTTACCATCTTTGCCTTCCACTGGATCAAAATTAAACTTAAATGTCAGTGAGAAGAGTTTCTCGCTTGAAAGGAGGCAATCCATTACATTTGTAATATGCATGTGGTTGGTTAAAGCTATTGGAAATAGTTATAAAATTGCTGTCCCAAATTTTCAGTGAAAAATATTCACGCTTTTAGTCAAGACATTACACTTGAATTTCTTTAGTCATTTGTATGTTGACAATCGCCATTTTGACCTACTTTCAAAATACCTTATGAAAAAATATAGCTGTCTTTTCCCCACCAGTGCGGGATGCATTCACGGTATGATTTGCTGTTGTCTGTAAAGATGGAATAAGTTTCCATTCATTTTCACTCGACAACAACCGCAGAGCTGAGCCACCTCTGAGACAGCATGCAGGACTCGCTTGCCTCTTGTGCACCATGAACAGAGCTATATATGCTGACCAGTTGTACCTTTGAACACTGTGATGGTGGTTCCTAATTTTTCAGAGGGGTTACTAAGGAAACAAATGGTCTGTTGCATTTTTCTACTGCCCCGAACCTGACCAGGTTGTAACAGTGTCATGATTTAATAGAAGTCACACTGCAAGTAAATCATACCATTCGCCAAAGCAGATGGGGCTTTAACAATACAATAGGAAGGAAAGAACCTAAAGATTTGCTTGGAGCAAATTTTAAGGTATGGAGGTAGGGATTAATATCCCCTAAACTGCTTTATCAATATTACAAAGTGTGAGGACAAAGCAGGAAAGCACAAACACTGTGCTTCTGCAAGCCACTCTCATTGTGGCAAAATACCACACCCCCCCAGTTACCATATGTCATTCAGAAAACCATCTCAGCCTCTGAATCAGGTAACGGCATCATCTGAGGTCCACTCTACTCTAAGTTCAATGCAAACTGGCTCTTCTAGCTCCAATTTTGGAATTTCACAGCCTGTCTTCCGAGACCAGAATAATTCATTTCCACAGACGTATGCTCCTTAATATCATTACACACTGGCCTGTACAATCCCTCTGGGAGAGGAGCCCATTTGTAAAGCAGTATTATCCCTATGCCATGCTTTTAATTTTGAGGTTGTTATTGATAATGACTTCCTCTCATACATATCTAGCAGTGGCTGAGCTTTCATAAGAGGAAGGCAGTGCAGTAGCTGTTCAAATGGAATTTGATAGTGTCACTGTGTGATGAGGAAAGAGGCTTTGGACAAACAAGGAACTGCATTCCATGCTCAGATTAGGAGGTTCTAGTATCTAGCAAATGTTTAGGCTACAAAATAAGCTTCCATTACAAATCTTTGCCTTTGATAGTCTTTTCTACCCACGCCCTCTTTTGCCACATCTCTACAACACTCTGCTGGGAAAGAATATTTGCCTAGTAATGCCGAATGAATTCCACTTCTACAATACAGTACTCCAACCAAGGTACAGTGCAATTTATACATAATCTTCCATTAGCTCTGTTTGGAAAAGTCAGCTATTGCTATTCACCTAATGACTAAAGGGAGATACTGGGAAACTGAATTAGCTCTTTAGAGAGCTGTCTTTAAGAGCGAAGGTCTGGGATGCAGGAATTGGAGAGACTATTTCCCCTTACATCTGGCTGTTAGGAGACTAACAAGGACAAATCTCAAGAAGGGGACAACATTAGTAGTAAGCAAGGGTCAGAACCTGTGAGACAGGGTGCTGATACCACTGACTACTCATATCAAGCTGAAAACCCTTGCTAGTGTTTCAGAGAGAATCCATGCCTCATCAAGATGGAAAAAAAAAATCCGAATACCACCAACAGAAAAAACTTGGGTTCAAAATGCCATCTCAGAACTAAAATCCTTAAACACCAAAGGGCAAAACTACTTATAAAAGCTTTTTTGCATCTCTGACTCCTATGTTTCCACATCTCTAGATAGCAATTCTCTCCTCAGTGCTGCCTGTAGCCCCGTTCCCCTCAAAGGCCCTGATTCGACGAAGGCATACTGCCAACCCCAGACTCAGAAAGCCTTCCTGAAGGGAGCATCAGCATCTCAGGGTGCTTAAACACGCTTGCTGTGCTAGAAGCACAGCAGACAGAGCCTGCCAGCTCCTCCTTAAAGCCTAGAAATGAAGTAGCTGGTAAAATGACCCCATGGTGCCATGTCTTCTAGGTGAGACTCTGGAGTAACAGCATCTTCCTCCCTAGCCAGACCCCTAGGAGATACACTGCCTCCCACCTCTGGAAAGGAGCCCGGAGGCCTTTGTGGCCATCCATTCGCTCAGCTTGAGAGGCACACTGCCCTGCCACCTCCCTTTTCTACACTTTGGAAAGCTGAGGCACACAACTTTTCCAGATTTATTATATACGGATGCAGACTTCTTTCATCACCTGCCACAACTACACCCATAGGAGAAAACCGGGAATCAGCTGAGTATATCTCCGAATCTACCCATTACACAGCATTGTTTTAAGCTGTTAAACAGCTGCTGGGTTGCAAGAGTCACAAAAGCGTTTTCTGTATTTTTCCTCTTTGAGCTCCTTTTGAAAATACATGTCCTGCATCACGTGCAAGTCATCCAGTTTCAGCACATGCTGTTTTATGGGATATAGTAATACTTGGGCACTTCCTTCATAGCCTCCATTAAAAAGCAACACTACAGCAATACCTAAAATAGCACAGTTACAGCCAATGTTTAATACAGAGGAGAAATGGAAAAAGATTTGCGCCATGAATTTTGATCACAGGAAACAGGACCACAAGAGACCTCATGAATTTCTTTAGTCCATTCCTTTTTTCCCATGGATCAGTTCTAAGTGATTATGGACAGCTCCTCGACTAACCCCTTTGCCTGAATCCCGGACTTGTAAAAAGAGTGTGAAACACTACAACACGAGCTAAAGGACCCATCTTTTAATTGCTAGTTCTCTCAGACCACAATATCCCACTTGAACCAGTCACTAGAGAAGGACAAATCCCAACATGTTCTCAGTCCAGGTGACACTGACGGTAAAATCTTAATGCCAAACTGCACTCCATTTTTCCCCTTCCCCTCTCAAAATTTTTGACTGATTTTTGACAAGCCCTTACCTGTTGCTTCCACCATTCCTTCCAAGATGACCACAATTTCAAACTCCTCCTTCTCCAGTTGGGTGCGGGACATCTCCCAGAAGGGGCTTTTCTCGTTGATTTCATGCGAGATGATAAGAGGTGACACCAGGAACAATCTGTCGTCTCCAGTGTCAAATCCCACGTTGATGTCCGTTTGGTTCAAGGGGATAAACTCTCCTTCTTTGGTCTGTTTGGACTTAATCAGTTTGGCTCTAATGGAAGCCTCGACAATGTGGGAATTGCGGAGGTCTCCAACCCGGAACATGAGGCAGAGCTTCTCATCCCTCATGGAAATCACTGCATTGTTAGAAAACATGAGGGTTTCAGCCCTCTTCTTTGGTTGGCTGATCTTGACAAACATACATCCCACCATGAACGCATTGACAATGGAGCCCAGAATAGCCTGGATCAGGAGCAGTACGATGCCCTCTGGGCACTTCTCTGTTATGACCCTATAGCCATACCCAATTGTCGTCTCAGTCTCGATGGAAAACAGAAATGCAGAAACAAATCCACTGAGATTTTCAACACAGGGAATCCAGTTCTCATCTTCAAGATGGTCCAGGTCCCCCCGGATATAGGCAATGAGCCACCATATGAACCCAAAAAACAACCAAGTGATGGTGTAGACCATAGTGAAGACAAGAAGATTAAAACGCCACTTGAGGTCCACCAGCGTAGTGAAGAGGTCACTAAGGTATCGATAGGTTTCTTGGACATTTCCATGGTGCACATTGCACTTGCCACTTTTCTCCATGTAACGCTGACGTGGCTTCTTACCTTCTGCTGATATGAGGCGGGTTCGGTCAGTGGCAATGGGGACATCATCCCGAGCCTGTTTGGGAATCTTCTTAGGCTCTCTGGATGTAACTCCGATGTCCATGTCCTGGTTCATGAAGATCCTAGAATCTCCGGCCATGGCTGGGCTGCAGAACAAAGAAATAAAGTTTTAAGATAGGAGGAAAAGAGCTGAGACAAAAGCCATTTTGTTTACTCTCTGAACCATTACGACAGACCAGGACAACAAACATTGCAAATATTAACGCTACACTGACAAACTTTGCCCCATGCTGGTACAGGGCTGGATACAGGCTGATTCTACATCAGGAAAGCTTTTTGCTAGGGCCATGTCCTTCCTCCTAGTATTGTTTTGGGAAACACTTTGAAAGGCTTCAGCACTTCTCTCACAACAGCCACTTGCTAAATACAATGCTGCTTTGAACTGGATGTTAAATACCGATTCATAATACACACTCTTCAAACATGAACCAGCTGCCAGTCACTTTGCTTAATGCACTACTGGAACCTCAGAAAATACGGTGATGGGCACGGTCTGGGAGTCATGAAATAGGTAAACCTTGTTACAGGTTTGTTTTTTTTTTTTTGTCCTCAGATTTTTTTTACACCCAAAATTTGCTTCAGATCACAACTAGGAGCAAAGGAAAGATACATCAATGTGTATTTTCAAGAGGGACTGGAGTTTTTTGCCTCAGGTTTTGGGTGCATACCAAGAGAACCCTTAGAAATGAATAGAAAACACTGAGCACCACTGTCTATTACACTGTCTATGTAAATCTCACATAAGTCTAAATTATGCATGGAGGTTTCCCTTACAGTCAGCAAAGAAAGGCACCTCCAGGGATAATTCAGATTTCAGGAGTGCTGAATCACCTTCTGTAAGTACCCACCCCCTCCACAAATTATTCTGGGAGCCTGGGCTCCAAATGTGAAATAGGCATTTAATTTAGCGTCTTGAATTACATGTCTGAAGGTGTGATGAATCCAGGCCTACTGTTAATCAGACATATCAGAACCCACCCCTTTACTTCATCTGACATTAGACAAAAACACCAGACACTTTTAGAAACGTAATAGACAGCTATTGAAAAGCCCACTGTTGACATGCAAAACTATGCTTAACAAGATACAAATAAATAATACAAAATGATGGCTGCAATGATTTTTGCAGGTTATAATGTAACATCTTGTTTACCTAGATGATTAGATACTCCTTTAAAAAAAAACCACACATGCTCTATTGAAAAATGAGAGTCTTGACTCTGAATGCAGGGCACAGCCAAAATCTCTGTGAAAGACTACCTAAGAAGCCTTAGTGATATCAAAGATAGAGTAGCAATATTCTCTATGGTGTTCCTTCTCTGCATTGTCCTCTGCAAATCCTATTAAAACCTAACTAAATCTATTACTGCTCCCTCTATCTTTAATCTTCTTATGCGTCTGTGAATGAGAAAAGGTGTAGAGATACAATTACAAGTATCTTGGGAAAGACAATTTTAAGATGGAGCAAAGTAGCTTCATCTTTCGGTATTAAAAAGCACAAAGGGTGGGCGGGAAGGAAGCAGAGGCAGGATGAATAAATGAAGCAACAAATTTCCACTTCCATTCTGCTGTAGCCAAGTCTGGTTAACAGCAAAGAATTACTCTTAGCCCTTGTATAAGTCACCATCAATCATTACTCCAATGAAGCAGCCAGAGCCTGTTGCTGGAACCATACCCGCTGGCTCTGTTCACTAGGGAGCCCAGCCATCTGTCCACAGCACAGTCCCAAAGCTTCTTCATGCTGGCAAATTTGCCAGGTTTGAAGGGTTTGGGCCAGGGCTGAGCCAGTGCAGCCACAGGAAGGGGTAAATAATAGGGATTAATGACGCTGGGATGGTAAGTTAGGAGGAATCAGGTTTGCTACCCCCACTGCATATGATCCTGGACGTGGGATAGATAACCCCAGCACTGTGCTGTTCCCTTCCTCAAACAGCAACATCAAGGATTTTGGCAGAATATTAATCCCTACCTCTATTTCTTTCACTCTGAAGGTAGGACTCCCGAGAGCTGGCTCATGGTATATTTAGGTATATCTTCAGCCATTTTCTACTACTTGTTGCAAATTCAAATCTCCTGGACCATTGGTCTGTCGCTCTGCTGCCTTATGGTGTGTGTCTATTTACATGCATGCAAAGTGTCTGCTAGATGCTGTCAAATTACGAGGGTACATACTGACTCGCACTTCACAACATGTGAAAGCATATACCAAGTGCAAGTCAGAACAATCACACACTTTTTTTTCCCCTCTTTAATAGGGAAAGAAGCATCCCATCCACTGACTTAAGGAGAATTAGGTACAGAGAAGAACCTCTTCACTTTCTTCTTATGAATATTACTTTTGATCTTTGTTTGCATTGTTTGATTAATCTAAAATTACTCCATTTGGACTAAAAAGCTTTTTGATCAACTTATGTATAGAAATGTAAAAGCAGGCAAGTGTTGCATGTTTTCAATTTTAAAAGAATCGTTTTAAAGATAATTTTGTTATAAAAGTTGTATTTGAAGGTGAGTTTCCCTTACACTGACACTATGTAAGACAGAACAATCAATTTCAAGACATTAAGCTATAGTGTAAGGTTTCATATTTTAGATTCATACCAAAGAGACCAAAAGGATCTTGAAACATATTAAAAAGAACAGAATAGAATAAAAACAATCAAAAAGCCTAAATCCCTAGAAATATCACTCTGGTGAAGCAGGCTAGAGGGACTGCCCATTAATGAAAGTACAGGGAAACCTGCTTTAACTAAAACACTCAAGGGACTGGCAACATCACTTTTCTAATGCTACTGATCTTTAACAATAGGTCAAGTGAAATCTTTCTGGAAACCTTCAGGAACACCTTACAAGTGGTTCACTAAAGCAGAAAAATTCCTGCCGTGTATGAACTTTACTGATAGCTTCAGTGGCATTACAATTTCTCCTAATATTTAATCTTAAACTCTCCCATCGTAGTATAAGCATAACCTCAGTATGTGGTTATTGAAAATAATTAAGCAGATGAATCTTTGCATTAGAATTTTTAAAAGCAATAATACCAGGAACACCTTACAAGTGGTTCACTAAAGCAGAAAAATTCCTGCCGTATATGAACTTTACTGACAGCTTCAGTGGCATTACAATTTCTCCTAATATTTAATCTTAAACTCTCCCATCGTAGTATAAGCATAACCTCAGTATGTGGTTATTGAAAATAATTAAGCAGATGAATCTTTGCATTAGATTCTTTAAAAGCAATAATACTTGTTAGCAGTTTGAGCACAGGTTTGGATGTCTGAAGACTAGCCAGCTTTCTGTTCCAAATGATTTCAGTATTTTTTCTCTAATTCTGAGCAAATCACTGCTTTTCCCTCTGCCTTAATTCCCCAACTGTAAAATTTGTGATACGGATATGAATGGTCTGTGAGATCCTAGGCACAAGAATCTTCTATGAAATTTGCTATCATTCCCTTCTTATTTTAACTGCTCTGGGAAATTTGAGCACAAATGACAAGATACTATAAAAGGAGCACTGTACCTATGTAAGGATTTGGTTAACTCCTTCATCGTATAATATACTGCCACTGTTATCAAGCACACACATCTTTTCCAGATAACGGTAATTACATGCAAGCATCTCAGAGAGATTTAGACTTCAGTTTGTAAATCACTGCTCCCTCCAGCAAAGAGGTCTGAGAGATGAAATTGCCTCTTATAGTCACATGCGCCGTCCTGTTTCATTGGCATTTACCATCTTTGGTTAAACGAGGCCAGGATAATAAAAATGTCACTTTTGTACAAAGCTGCTTTCCTTTTGGACAGGCTACTGCAAAAGGAGATGTGAGTCAGTGTATTATCAACCTTGCAAAGAGGCTTTTTATCAGGCTTGCTGCTGCTCAGCTTTTGCCCAGACGACAGACTCGGGGCAGGCAGTGACATTTAGGGCTCTTAGATTTGCTGAAGAAGAGTCAAGCTGGGGTTAGCTAAGTATCTTCAGGAGGCATTGTTTTGCAGAGCTGTCTACAAGCCCTGCCTGACAGAGCTGATGTACCTCCTGAGAGCTCCAAGTCTTCAAGATAGAAATTTGCTGAAGACATCGCAGAAGGTAAAACAAGAAAAGTTTGCAAGAAACTTTTTTCCCCTGCTGACCATGGTGACTTTTTCAATTTAAATAATCACTGATCTCGCTTAAGTAAATGCAAGTTTCAGTGGGGATAGGATTTGCTTCTGGAGAGGTCTCAGCTGGCAGGCAGGAGGAGTTTGAAGACATGAATTTGTCATCAAGTTTGTTTGTGTAAAAAAAAGACTTCTTTTTGTTTGTTTTAAACCTGATGCCCATGTCTTCTTGCATTATGAGAATAAAGGAGCAACTGTTCTTTAGTAAACCCCCCACGCCTTCCCAAATCAGGATTCTGCTTATTTCTGTCATCTCTTTTCCCAGACAGTCTCCTATACTACACAACAAGCAATCAATACAGCAGTGAATACTAAACAGATCATTACTGAAAAACTTGACCTGGTTCTTTTGCTGCCTGTTGGCCCACACCACATAAACCAGAGCCTAGGTTACTGTCCCCAGATTCCTCTGGGGCACATATTGTCCTTTGGGTTACACTGCGGCAAGGGAATGAAATTCTCAATTGACAGACACTAGCAACATGGGAAAGTTGGTAGAGGAACAGAGCAAATTAAAGCAGTAGCACCCAAAGAGAATAAAAGCATTGATCGCTGAACACTGAGTGCTAATGGAAAGATGGAAGAAGAAGAAATATTAGGAAAGGATGGCTTTTGATCATCTGAAGATAAATGGCTATTAGATAGGCACTGACTGACAGGTGGGGCTTTGATTTCCCTGAGAAAGGCATCTTTTCCACTACCCTCTTATTTACTGCCTGTGTATGACTGAGACTGAACAGTCAACAATGCCAATGCAAGATTACCTTTTGAGGCATACATACGCATGCAAGAAAAAGAAAGGTAGGTAGATTTTGTGCAAATCATGTCGTCTTTCCGTTTTCTGACTTATAAATAGAGATTGTGGTGGCTGCCTCTTTGGAAAGTGCTTGGAGATCCACAGGTGGAGGGAATGATACAAAAGAGTTATGCTATTCAAAAACAGGGCAAAACATTTAAGGAAACTGCACAAAAAGGGAGACCCGTGGCACCTCACTAATAAACATGTGGTTCAAAAGCTCCCTCATCCAAATAATTGCTTTTCAAAGTGTAATCTCACTCAGCGCTGAAGTAGGAAGATGCCTCTCATTTCTTCTTTGAGTTTTCATTGAGTCGCAGCACTGCTTTTCTAACGTGCTGACGGGCATGATTTTACAACGGAGCTCCTCTGGGGCTAGAGGAGACACCCACCCACCAATACACACAAATGGGTGACTGATGATTAACTAGGCAGCTACTAAAGATGCAGGATGACTTTGTGCTTGTTACAGAGCTGGGCGCAGACAGACGGTGCCTGTCTGCTTAGAGTTCATTAGGCTCAGAAATACCGAAACAGAAGGTGTTCAGTCTTTAAAAAGAAAATACCTTGTAAGAAAATCTCTCTGGGTAGGAAGCTAATATGACACAAAGACAGAGCTTATGGACAGTTGCACTTTACTTTTATCTGCTAATTACCGCCCAGTCTATCCTTCTCCCCAGCAATGCTGGATAATCACAGTTCTAATATCCCTGAGCCCTTTCATTGTCAGTTGTGAGGTAGCAATGTGCCTCCCATTCCCAGAGTATCCAAATGTTTCACAGTGTTCAACACAGGTATCGCATGCTTTGAAATTTTATTTATTTATTTATTAAGATCTGTGGAACAAGGAAGTGCTGTATTTCCCGTATTTCAAGATGGGGAAGTGAGTCACAAAGACACCTGCTTCTTCCACACTCACACTGGGAGTCTGTGGCAGGGCAGGGAATTAAGCCTAGAGTTTCCAAAATCCTAAACGAGTGCCTGTAATCACTGCACCACTCTTCTTCCCTTCCACCAATCCAGCAGCAGTGAATACAGTCCCTATCTGCTTCAGGTGTGTCTAAAAGATTACTCTGAAAAGCCTACATAGCCTGATCTATCAGCACAAATAACCTAGCAAGATTATTTC